CATTGATAGTTTAAATGAGACAAATGGAGGGCAAACCCATATCAGACTAAGGCACTTAAAAATTTACATTTTCAATTTATTTACAAGTAACTTGGCCAAATTTACGAGCACAACCTTAGAAGTATTAAGTGTGTTAAGCAATAAAAACATGTCTTGCTTGATGAAAAAATTCATAAGCTTTAAGCTTTTTAAGCACATGTCCATAATAAAAAAAAATCATGAATGTAGTTAAAAAAAATTAAAAATATTTGCTCTGATATGGTTTGACAAGTTTCTACTAAATTTTAAGATGGCTATTTTGAATTATTTTTTTGCCAAACAATTGATACTGATATTTCTAATTATAATATTAAATTAAATTATTCCTTGTTTATAAGATAGTAATTTACACCTAAAAATTTAAATTTATTTTTATCTTTTTAAGATCAAATTGTAGGACGAATGAATATTCCAGTACTTTTTCGGCGGGAAAAAAAATCCTAAGTGTTTTTTTTTTTGTTGGACCAAACTACTTCAAGCGCATTGATATTAACTTGGTGGGATGTTCACCTTCAATTTTTCAGAGTTCTTTTTTTAGTAGAATTGCAGAAAGAGTTTAAGTACTTGTTTAAAAATTTTGTTGGTCAACAAGGCCTAAACTCAACAAGTGCAATTATCTTCCATGGCTGTAACCGTTTTTTTTTTTTTTTTAATTTTGTGCGACTTATCTTTGATTATGTACAATAATTGTTAAAACGAATGCCATTTATACATTGTTAAAGATATGTTACAAATAATTAAAAAAAAAGTTACATGTGTTGAAGATAGTTACATCGATTCAAATTTAGATCTTTTTAATTAATATAATTTTAAACCAGATACTTTTTACTAATTTTTTTTATTTATTAATCACCAAAAAAGATATTACATTTACACTCATTACCTATTTTCAGAGTGCACGTCAAAAGAAAACAAATACATGGTTTACAAAGACAATTGAATAGGTTGATTAAAAAAAACAAGAAGACATGGTTTTATATTTAATTCTTAAAAATATAAAACAATTATCATCGAAATGATTTTTTAGCCAAAGTTAATTTCAAAATCCATCCAGATGTTTGTGAATTATTCTTTTTCTTGGACTTTGGGGATTAAAATCCCAAGACTGAAAATAAAAAAGAAAATAGAAGAGACTTGGTCTATTCAATTTGATATTATGTAATTAATCGGCGCGGGGTGTCTCCACTAAGCTAATGATCCCTTTCCCTCCACTTCGTTCAAACGACGTCGTTGAGAGACATGAGGCACGGAGTGAAGCGCAGCGGAGGAGCCTAGGATGATGCTAAGTTAATTTAATTCAGGTATATTTTATTTTAACAAATAAATATAAAAAATATTATTAATTAAATTAAAATTAATTATGATAGGCCTAACATCCATTTCACATCGATTATTTTAAGTAAATTAGTTGAGATATATTTGTTTACCTGCATTATTAGAGGCCTAAAATTCAATTTGCATCATCCACTATTGTGACGTTGTTCCCATTTCACAATTTCAGCAGAAAGAGACAAAAAAATTTTTGATCCTGAAATAAAATAAAATAAAAAGAACACTTAGGGTGTGAGGAGCTTCACAGTCCTTAATGCATTGCTCCTCCAATTTACGCTTCGCTCCGTGCCTCCCATCTCTCAACGCCGTCGTTTGAGAGAAAGTATAGGTACCTTCAATATGGTTTTCCCTTTTTTTTTAACCTGTCTTTTTAGTTAAGGAGAATGATAGAAAAAGAAACTGAAAATTACAAATCTCAAATCAGATTTGGTAACACAATTTTATTTGGTATTAACAAGTCTGAATTTGCAAATGACAACAAATTTTTGTTGACATTCCTTATTTAATATTTACAAAGTTCCAGCTTAATTTTTTGTTATTGTCCATTTTAGTTACTCTAGTTAGGTGTGCAACAGCATCACACATTTGTTCCCCATCTCTCATCTTCTGCCATAGTCGTGCCTCTCTCTCTCCCCCTGTTCCATCACTCATCCAATTTCTCATAACTTACAAAACTTTCAACTAGCGAGTTCAATGATAGAAAGATATAGCAGGAACCTTGCTTTGGAAATGTGAAGGAGAACTACAATGTTCAGTTGTTGAAATGCTGCATAGCTTTGGGCCCAAAAAAAAAAAAAAGCCAAATAACAGGCTACATTAATCTTTATCGACCCAGAAAATCACTTTCTTAAATTTTCAAGATTGTCGGAGACATATTCACTGAAATATACTAGAAGACTCGAGTTTGCCTCAAAAAGGGTTCTACATCAAGAGGAAGATCGCCGTATCTTTCTGCATCAGAATGAATGGGAAAAAAAAATGGGCCAGATTTCTGAACTATGGCTACTAACTTGGCAGTGCATTATTAATTAACCAGTTATTCCCTCAAATCCTTAATTATAAGAAATTCTTAAATAGATAGATTAAAAAATTAAATAAATTAATTATAATAAATACGATATGATCTCTCTATAATATTTTTGTATAATATTAAATTATATATCAATTTGTAAATTCGACAAATTAATTTAATAAAAAATAATAAATATGAAAAACATAATAAATTGAAGTTAGTAAATTTAATTTTCAACCAACCAGTTTCGTTGTGTTAGAAATCGGAGGCGGGTGGGCGGTTTTGGCCGTTTGCCGACTTTGAAATGGACAACTTCCATGACTACCTGGAGACATTTCCCCACCAGAGGATATTATTATGTGTGTCTATATAAATTAATAAGATTATGATTAGGAAGAATCCTATTTAAACCCAACTAAAATACCAAAATCTAAAATTATTTAGGCCTACACTTTGAACAAATTTCTAGTTAGACTAAGATGCCTAATTAATGATTTATAAATGTTGTTAAAAGTCTAAAATAACCTGCCATGATTATAATATGAGTGTTTATATTTTTTTTTCCTCACAAATTCTTTTTCTGAATTTTTTTTGAGATTTTCCTTATATTTAAAAATATTAAATTTTTAGTAAATGACAGAAAATTACAATACAGTCCTTTATTCACATTAATGATTACTCCAACACCCCATTAATGTAACAGTGTAGGGTACTGTTATATTTTAATTTTGAATAGATTTAATTTCTATTCAGTTTTAATATTGATCTATCCTTCATATACTTAATTTTAATATTGATCTATCCTTCATATACTTAATAATATATACACACACAATCTTTTTATTAAACACGTATTTTTTTAATAAAATACACCTATATTTTAATAGTAGAAAACTCATTGAAACAATAAACTTTTTTACAGATATTGTTTTCATAATTTAGGAAAAGAATTTGTAAGAGGGAAAAATATAAAAGAAAATCTCACATTTTAATTATAGATGGGTATTTTGCTCTTTTAACAACATCCATAAATCTTTAATTAAGCCTCTTGGCCTAATTAAAAATTTATTTACAGTGAAGGCCTCGTTTTGAATTTCAGTATTTCAATTGAATTTAAATGAGATTCTCCCAATATAATTTTGACCAGAGAATATAATTGAAGAATAAATTATATATAGTTCATTTCTAATTTGGTGGGATATTAGTAATTAATAATTACTAATTCAAAAGAAGTAGGTGCACGTGTTTCATTTGCAATTTTCCTATTTTGACTTCTAAGGAAAAAAAATTCCACATATATAAAGCATAGATAGTAATATTTCATGCCTTTTGATGTCTCCTTGAAATTTAAAGCGAAATAATAACCTTCTAAATTGTCAGGTTGAAAAGCCGATGAAGCACTCAATATACGAATTGATTTTTATAAACAATAAATTTTCTTAGAAGCAAATAGTTAAAAAAATAAATCTTAAATATTTTCTATAACATATTCTTGTATCACAGTAAAAATATATAGCTATGGACCAAAGAAAAATACTGAAAGTATTTTGGTTAATTTACTTTTCATATGTTTTACATGTTTTTCAAACAATGATTATGTAAACTTTTACATAAGCATGCGTCAATAGTCGTCGTATCTATGAGGAAGATGAGGCTAATATAATTAAGGCTGCGTTTGCCATCAAATTTAAAGATCACTTATAAATATATTTTACATAAATCAAAACTCAAACTGAATAAAAGGACATGCGAATGCAGAGCAGCCACACATAAAAAAAAGAAGACAAAATTCTTTTACTTATCTTGTATTCCTTAAATTATGATTGAAAACTGTTTATAAAGCATTTCAAAACAACTCTAACAAAGTAGTTGAAACTAAGTAATAAATTATTAAATAAAATGAGAGGCCACATGCATGAATGGTCAACTTTGCATGGCAATAAGCGTCGGCCTCGATCGCCACCAACTTTTACGAGTCAACGACAATTTGTCAAGACATGTATACAAATTTATATGATCCCTCTCATTAAATAATGATTTAAACATTCATCGCTATCAAACTCCACATCATTCACAACAAGAATGTCAAAAAGCTATCAAAACAAATCACATTCCTTTGAGAAATATAACATATTTATATGGATTTATATAGGAGATTGAGAATAAAGGGTATCATTTGAAGGGGATCATATCTTTTCTAGCATAATTAATATAATAATTATAGCATTGTCCCCAAAAAATAATTGTTACAAATGAATAAAGAACTAACAGAAAAGTATCTTGTGATTTGTGAAAGCAATCAACTTGATAAATCATTGAAACAAGTCGCAATTTATAATAGTTGCCCCCTTTATCGATTAGCCTCCAAGAAGGGGCTAATAATTCCTTCCAACAAGAATATATCTTGTACTACTTTTCTTCAAAATAATAAAAATAAAACGTGTTAATTAAAGATAATAAAATCATAAGAGGCATTTATAACATTTTACTTTATTCATACAAGTTGATAAGGGAGGCTCCAACATGGCAACTCGGATATTTTTGTTTTGGCGACCAACAACAACCCCATTAAGTAATTGAAGCCATATTGCAAAAGTCAAATGATGATTCATGCATATAAACTGTGGGCATGGTGGCGCTGCATAATATTATTCTCTCAACAAAATCCTTCAAATTAGCCCGATTATATTCATCGTTTTTTCCGATCTGAATCTCTATTAGTTTCTTCATCAGCTTCTGGATCATCACAAGCTATATCTTCCAGTTTGCATATATAATCATATGGCTCCTTCTCCTTCTCCTTCTCCTTCTTGTTCTTCTGTGTCGTCGTCTTCACCAGCCATGGCTTTTGCAGTTGCTTCTGCTGTTTGTGTGTTCTTCAGTTGCTTCGTTTCTGTATCACAAGCTCAAAACGCTACCACAGATCCTTCTGAAGGTCTCTCTCTCTCTCTCTCTCTCTCTCTGTGTGCTCTGACTGCGATATATGATGTAGAAAGTTTTTCCTGGAAAATAAGGATTGATGTAACTGCTACAGATGCTGATAGAACTTTTAAACATGATTATTCTCTTTGTTTGTTAAAATTTGATTTTTTTTCCAAATAAACTTGGATTTTGCCTACTCTTTGTGCCTCAACTTAATTTTCAGTTGAAGTGATATATTAAATTAACCTATAAAGTAAATATGATTAATATCTTATAATTCTGTGGATTTGAAACTTTTGAAGCTCCTTATAGATCTAATGGTAGTCTTGTGTATATATGAGTGATTGATTTGTGAATAACAGTCAATCACAGAATGTACGATCCAAAAAAAAAAAGAAGCGAAGTTATGTTATTATGGAGTTTTTTGTTGGCAAAAAAAAGATTATGGATTTTTTTGTACCGTAAATCTTAGAACTTGAGATCTAGTTTTTAAAGTTTTGCTATCAAGCATTATTGTTGAAATATCACACTTCTTTTTTAAGCATTGAAATGGCACACTCTATTAGTAATATAAGCTGGCATTATGTTCACGCAAGTTCAAGTTCACGTTCATAGTAGAAGTTTACTGTTAAGTACAAAGAAATTATTTATAGAACTGACTTAAGAATTTTGTAGGATTTTTGTATTCTTTTTCCCTTTAACAATAACTATATTTTTATTTCTTTTTATTGATTTTTCTAAAAAAAATATTTTATATTTACTCTATCCATTTAGAATTATAATATACTTTTAATTAATCTGCACCCTTTAATAAGTTAGTTAATGATTTTTAAAATTACGTATTTTTTTCATATTTATCCCCATTTAATAGTGTCTTAATTAGAAAAATTATATTAATTACATTCTTAATTAAAAATGTTTTTTTCTTTTAAATATCTTATTAATTACAACTTAAAAGACAAAAAATGTTTAGTAATTTTAAACATGATATTTCAAAAAATACTTTATATTACTTCTAGTTCTTAATATAAGAGCTAGTTAACTAATTTGAGTAGATTAAAAAAAATTTTTAAATTAATTATTTGTAATAAACAGGTGTTATCTTCCCTAAGATACTCTTGTTATATGTGTATTAATTAGAACTACTATTTGATAAAATATTAATATGTTCAACTATTACAAAAACTATTTTTTAAAAAATGGATAAATATTATAGATAAAATATATTTAAATTTTATATTTATGATCAAATTATAAACTAACAATTATATTATATTTACGAGCGGACGTAGTAATTTTGAAAGAGGGAAAAAGTTCTGTTTTTGAAAAAAAAATTACAAGCCTGTTTGTTTTTGTTCTTTGTTTTGTTGTTCTTAAAACAATTTTATAAAATTATTTTTTAGAATAATTTTTGAAAACAAAAAACAAAAGAATTTATTTGGATAATAATTTTAAAAAATAATGTTTGAAAAAAAACCGTAGAAAACCACATTTGATACGTGATAGTTGTCACTCGTAATAATAAGTGGTGGATAGTAAATGAGAAAAGAAGAAGATTTCTCAAAACTTTTCAAAACAAAAAATAAAAAACACAAAAACAAGAAAAAAAAACATATAAAACTTGTTTTGGTTTTTTAATTTTTAAAAACATGTTACTGTTTTTTATTTTTTAAAACAATCAACTAAAAACAAATTAAAAACAAAAAATTGTTTCTAAAACAAGGAACAAGATTACATCTTCCTTATCTTTTTAATCCTCCCAACGGCCTGTCAGTTAATTAGTTAATTCTTCGGCCAAAAAAAAAAAGTTAATTCTTCTCCCACTAACCCTACTAGTTAATTTGTGGGATTCGATTTTCTTTTCACGGTGCTTTCCTTGGAAGAATGGAAAACTCAGTCAGAAATTCTATTGCATCTCATGCAATTTATCCAAAATCTGAACTTTTATGTAGCGAGAACGTTGAATTCAATCTTCAACAAATGGGAAATATCGGCGTCAGCAAGCGTATGGAATATAAGCGGTGAACTATGCAGCGGACGAGCTATTGACAGCACTACCGCGGTCGAAGACTTCAATCCATTTATCAAATGCGACTGTTCCAATGGCACTTGCCACATTACTGCACTGTATAATATCTGTCTTCTCTCAACTTGATTTATTGATATTGTTTTGTTATATGTATTGTTGATCTTGATCTTGCACTTTTCCCGCTTGTTTCTGGCAGGAGGGTTTATGCATTGGATGTTGTTGGGGAAATCCCAGAAGAGCTATGGACTCTGACTCACCTCACCAATTTGTATGCTTTTTAACTCCTTAAATTTCCAAGCTGGGTTTTACTAAAATTTCTTGCAAAACATCCTCGAAAGAGTTCTTATTTATTTATTTTTTTTAAATGAATGGAATTTTTTTCTTTTTAATTTTTTTGGCTTTCATAAAGTTTCCTCTAATTGCAATCAGGAACCTCGGTCAGAATTATTTGACGGGTTCTCTACCTCCAGCCATTGGAAATCTCACTCGTATGCAATACATGTAAGGCTGACTAGATAGCGGTTGTAAATCCTTCTTGTACCTAAGGATCCTCTCAATTTCTTATGGGAAAAAGATGGTCATTGCGAGCAAATTGATACTGTTCAGTTGATTTGGATAGTTCAAATATGTTAGCATCAGTTTTGTGTATTTCAAATGGCAAAAGATAAGTTTCACACTGTTCAGGTTGATATGATGGTAGAATTTATTCGAAATGACTAATTTTTTTCCCATCTTATTAGAGAGAATTTGGATTTGCTTATTATGCCTTGTGCTCACTACTCATGGACTCACTTTATTGTAAATTTATCCTAATTAGGACCTTAGGCATCAACTCCTTATCAGGGGAGCTTCCCAAGGAATTGGGAAATCTTACTGAGTTAATTGTATTGTAAGTCATCTACTTCCCCTTGAAGCAATTTCTTTCTTCTTCTTCTTTTTTGCTCTGTCCTTTCATTTTGTTTCTCTGTTTTTGCGGGTGATTTAACTGGCAATTTTGATATTTTTACTTTTCCATGTACCCAAGTTATATCACATTATTCAAAAGTGATATTTCGTTTCTTTTCTTTTTTGTTTTCAATGGCTTTTTTAATATCTGGAATTGATAATGAAGGATGCTGAATAATTATGTAGCTTAATTAAAGACCATTTTGTTTTATTAGAATTATGATTCCATGAGACATATATCATGATGATACTATCCATCCACTTAATTATTTGTTAATTCTGCAGGGGTCTTGGATCAAACAACTTCTCTGGGTCTATCCCCTCTGAACTAGGGAAACTTGTGAAATTGGAACAACTGTAAGCTCCAGTGCACTCTGCGTCTGTAGATTTTGTTATGATCAAATTGAAAGAGTCCCGCATTGGAAGCATGAGATTCTGTTTCTAATGACGGGCTTATGAAAAATATATTCTCTCAACTCCATGAATATTAATCTTTCAGATGACATGTATACGTTTAATTTATGTTTGATTATCATATAGAAGATATCTAACAGCATGCTGTCTAGTAATTTGTTGGCAATTTTCGGGAAATAGTTATGATCAAAGAATTAATGTCTGAGACTTGTAGGTTATAGTAACACTTATGGACATGAACAACTTGCATTATATTTTGCTTCTCAAATATGTGTTTGTCATATTATTTTTAATTAATAAAAAATAATGAATCATTTCTTCCTATGTTTGGAATTTATATACTGCATTTCAAATATATTTGATGGTAGCATTGGCAATTTATTTTCGCAACATTCCTAACATTCCTCTTTCATTTCAATGTAGTGAGGCTCCTTATATGCCAAAAAAGTTACAATTATTCACTTTGTTTTGGAATCTGGATTATGTTAGTTTATTGATTTTTGTGTGATCAGCAAATGATATCAATTTCAATAAAAATTTCTATGCAGTTATTTAGATAGTTCGGGACTTAGTGGCCAGATTCCTCCCACTTTTGCTAGTCTTAAAAACCTGGCGACAGTGTAAGAGTTTGTTACTTTTTCTTGTCTGTTACATGATAATTATAATATTAAAAATGAAATAACTTTGAAAGTTTTCCCGGTTGTCCAGATGGGCTTCAGACATGGAACTCACGGGCAGGATACCAGACTTCATAGGAAGTTGGTCTAAGCTTATAGTCTTGTAAGACAATATTGTCAATACTATTTTCTTTTTCCTTGAAATTAGGACGTTGGATCTCTTAAACATTCTAAAGTGGTATGCGTAATTTTGAATAGAGTGTTTGATGTTTAATGAGCATTGATTTTATCCAGCTACTCTACATGAAGTCCTTTAACTCTGTGCGTCATTTCAAGGAATGTAATGACTTTGGTTAGAATGAAATTTGAGAAGCATTAATTAGAAGTATCTACTGTCTCATCATCAGAGATAATTAGTTTACAGCCTCCTTATGATCAATTTCAGGCTTCTCCCCTAGTGGGTTTACAAAGGGGTTGGAAAGCACTTATGAGCTAACAAGTCTTTAGTTAAAATATGGTTTTGCTACGACTATTTGTGCTAATGGATTGATTTTTTTTCTCATCACTGATTTCCTTTCCTATTTATAAAATGTAGTTAAATCTTTCCTTATAAAACTTGTGTGCAAAAAAATTCTTTCAGATATGAAATATAAATACTTGTTTTGTTACTTGGTATTTTCTGTTCCAAAAGTTTGTGCTCAGAGTAGAATTTTTGTACTTTTTTATAGGAGGTTCCAGGGGAATTCTTTTGAAGGTCCAATACCATCATCATTTAGCAATCTGACTTCTCTTTACAGAGTTGTGTGTGTCACTCACTTACTTGTATGCATTTCTGCGGATTGATAAGAACTAAGCATACTTCTAATGCAGAGATAAGTGAAATATCTAATGGGAGCTCCTCACTGGCATTTTAAGGAATATGAAATCTTTGACTGTCTTGTAAGTTGGAAGGCAATGACTTCCCTCATAATTCATAGCCTTCCTGATACATCAATATATTTCTTTTTATTTTTTTTTCCAGAATGTAGCATGACAACTTGGTTAACAATCTTGCAGGGTTCTGAGAAATAACAATATTTCTGATCCAATTCCATCAATATCGGTGAATTTCTAAATTTGACCCAGCTGTGAGTATTGTCATGTTCATGTTCTTCAGATAAGCATAAACTATCCAGATATCTTAATTTGTGTTGGATATATAGGGCAATCAATACTAGCCATTAGTCCTTTTGTCCTAGAAATCAGAGGTGGAAGTTCAGGGGATCTAGTCAACCTATTACTTGATTTCTTAGTTTCTTAGTCACGTTGCCCTTTTATGAAAATTTATTTCTCGTAATGCTCTTGTTTTATGGGATTCTAGTAGCTGGTATGTAGCCATGGTCTCAAATAGTGGCCTATGGCAATGATGTAATGAAAAGAACAAAAGCACAGACTGCGATTGTTCTTCAACTTGCTTCCCAGGAAAAAGCAAATCAAACAGTGGTTTCCATTGGATATCTCCAACCTGAAATAAATACCTTAGTTTTTGTATAGTAGTTATACTGCTTAACTATAGGCACTCCCTAGTGCTAATTCGTTCAAATTGAAATGTTCATCAAGCTGAGTGATTTGTCATTAGAACTCAATGTGTGTGCTACTGGCAACTGGATCCGAAATGACTTGCTCGTTTACTAAGGATTCTTCACTACTTTTCTATAATCAATTCTCTTTTATTTTTCCCTATTATGTGCTTTATGTGGCAGAAAACGGTTGGAGTCAACTAACTATCCATCTTATCTTTCATCCTCATATTATATATTCCAATGAGGAAAAGATCAATGGTCTTCAGTTGTGTTTGTGTGTCCGCATCCGGATGATTATATAGCTGGTTCTTGCAGGGATCTGAGCTTCAATAACATCACAGGACAGGTTCCGGGATCACTTTTCAATCTGAGTTTGCTAACACCTTGTAATATATATGCTGTCCTAAGTAATTGAATTATGGATTTCCTGCATGCCTTCATGATTGGATTAAAGCATGATTTGTTTTTCACCAACTCGGTTTCTGGGAAATAACAAACTCACTCTGGTGCAATCCCTACTCAGATAAGCCCAACTCTTCTCAATATGTGAGTATTCTTGACATATTTGGACTCTACAGCATTGTAGTGCATTAGAATGGAGTATAATATAATATATTAATTTTATCTTTGTGCACAGATGTATTAATATTATTATATATGCTTAAGAAACCTTATACCCTAGATGTATTTCTGAATTCAAGCATTATTGTTTTTTCAAACATAGAGGGTGACTATTTATCTTCTGGGGCACCCGCATTCTAATATGCTAATTCGGTATCCATATACCTATAAGATTAAGGTCAACAGGTTCATTACCATGGTGCTTATGAACATAGAAGTCAGTGCAATTATGTTAGTTTCAAACTTATGCAACTAATACTACACTAATTGTAATTAAAGGCTTAATTCTTCAATGCATTGTCCGTCATCTCCATGGTATTTACTTAAACAACTTGAATGAATGCTTACAGAGACTTGTCCTACAACAATCTATCAGGGACCCTCCCCTCTTGGGTGAACAAACAAAATTTACAACTGTAAGTAACTTATCCTACACTTTTTTGTCATTTTGATAATTTCAAAAGTTCCTTGCTTCACTTTAAGTCTTTAACTAACAAGTCCTCTTGCAACTGAGGCAATTCTTTATCTACAAATCATATTTGCTATAGATTTAGTATATTTATTTGTTAAAAGTTATATTTTATTTATAGAAGAAAACAAAGAGATTAAGCGGGAGACAAGAGGTGTATCTCTTGTGACCTTGAATTATGCACCAATAAAAAGTGAAACAAAAGACCTAGATTTGGATGACTTTAATGAAGCTATACAAGAATAACGTAGATATCCAGAACCATGTAAACTGTTATTGGATAAAACTTAAGAGCTAGATAACAAAATGATGGGGGAAAGTAATTGAGCACATATTAAGAAATGAAAATGTTTTCTTCTGAGAAACAGTTTGTGTTAATGCCTAGATAATCTATAATAGAGACTATTTATCTTCCAAGAGAGTTGATAGAAAATTATAGGAGTAAAGAAAGAGATCTAAATATGGCTTTCATTGACCTGAAAAAATGCTTATATTGATTACTAAGAGAAGTGGTATGGAAAGCTTTGGAAAAGAAACGTGTTCATGTTGCATGCAATAGAGCTATAAAGGATATGTACGAGGGGCCAACACCTAAAGGTGAGGCAAGACTTCCTTACACGATTGGTTTGCATCAAGGATCGTCCTTGAGTCCTTAATGGTTTGACTTGGTTTTGAATCACATACAAAAGAAAATTCCCCAAGTACAAGCTATTCGCAAATGATAATATCTTAATTGAGGAATCACAAGAAGAGGTTCATTTTAGGCTTGAATTTTGGAGATGAGCTTTGGAATTGAAGGGCTTCCCCTTTAAGAGCAAGATGGAATATATGCATTACAAAGTTAATAAGAGTTATAAATTTAATAAGAGACAAGTTAGAGATTATTTAGAGGTAAAACTTAGTGTTGAAACCATACTACCAGTCCAGGTATTTGGGATTGATATTATAAGATGACAGTGAAATTGACAGAGATGTTACGCATGAGATACAAGTGGGGTTAGGTGGTTGAAATGGAAGAAGACATCATCAGTAATTTATGAATTGTGACTACAAAATACAAATCCTGTCGTTCATGCCAGAATACTTTCTTCTAGTTGTGATGTAAATACCCATGGCTATAGGAATTGATTTAGGATCTAGTTTATTCCATTTATTGTATTCCATATTTCTTGGGCTCCCCATTACTGCCCTTGGGTGGATATGTTTTGTACTCTTCCTCCTCAAAAATACAAGAAATAAAATCTTCTTCCCCATTTGCACACCTGCTAAGCTTAATGAGAAGTTTTACCAAACTTGTATAAGATCAATGATGTTACATGGTAGTGACTGTTGGGCACTGAAGGACAAGAGTAACAGCAAAAAATTGGGGTTGGAGAGATAAGAATGTTGAGATAGATATGTAGTGATATATATAGGGGTTCAAGCAGGGGTGCTTGCTCTCCCATGCATAAGTTTTCTTGTAAATATTGCTATTTTTATTTGTAAAAAGTGTTGAAATTAATTCTCCTCACTTTGATGAAAATTTTCATTTTTGGTCCCTCACATTCTAGCTTCTAGATCTATCTCTGTGTCATATTTGGTCACATAGAGAAAGACAAGATCCTCAATAACTGTATATGAGGAAAAGCTGGTGTGGCATCTATTGAGGAGAATGGCAGAAAAATGTTTATGGTCATGTCCAAAGAAGGTCGATAAAGCCACCAAAGAGGAGAATTGAACAAATGGTCTTTAGTCCTATGAAGAGGTGTAGAGGGGGATCAAGAAATGAAGAAAGACATTCAAGGAAGTTATTAAATAAGATCTCTTGATGAATGATATATTGAAAGATCTGGTTATTGATCAAACAAAATAACATTATATGATCAATGCAGCTGACCTCACTTAAGGGAATAAGACTTGCTTGCTGCAATGGTGCTAAATGAGGAAAGTAGGTGCTTTCAAATAAAGCATGATATTGGATGGGGTAATGGTGCACATAAACTCAATCTAACATGGTAAAAAGTAGGTAGTTATAGTAAGTTTCATTCTCGCAACATACATTTTGAACATTTGCTTGCTTATATATTAAGGTGATACTAACTCGCTATTTTTATGCTGTCTGGTCAACAGAAATTTGGTTGCTAACAATTTGACAATAGAAGGTTCAAATAGCAGGTGATTCTTGTGCCTTTTATCATTCTTCTTTTGCATAATATTGTCACTCAATCTCATTTTTGTCCTTTTATTGGCTATTGTGAATCAAGAGTTATCAGTCAGTTGCGTGTTATTTTAAAGACCTCTTTATCAACTGAAACATTTATTCTTCAAGCATAAAGCCAGTACCCTATTACTCAAAGCCATGATTTTGCTATCAATCTTGGTTATGTATGTATAGAATTGCTAAAGATATTTATTAAAGATATTATTGGGCTTTATTACGAAATGATCAAGAGTTAATCCTTGCTACCTCCATTTTCTAATTAAATAATTTTAGCACAAGGTATGGTGGGCTTTTGCTACATCCATGTTTACCTAACGACCTTCATGTTGGGGGTGTGATAAAGAAATCATTCCTAGGATATCTCGACAAAGTTTAAACTCTTAGGATGAACTAGCTCTTGACAAGGAGATTCAGAGATCAAGATGCAATTTAAGGGGTTTATTATATGTTCAGGCTTGGTGATAAGAAGTACAAACCTCTGAAATAAAATTTGCTTTGAGTGGATAATCTGGGGGTGCCTCTGTTAGGGCTGTCCTACCATGCCTACTTTGTATTTTCTTTTATTAAGATCAAGATGTAATTCAAGGGGCTTATCTAATATTTCTTTAATATGTACATATTTTAAGTAAATGCTATTTTCTCTTGCAGTGACCTTCCTTTTGGACTCAATTGTCTACAGCGAAATTTTTCTTGTTTTCGTGGTTCTGGAATATGTAAGTACTTCTTTTATCTCTAGTTTGCCATTGCTGGCATCGATATATCAATATTAACTATGAAATCTATTGCAAAACGACTATTCAAAAGTGATAAATAATGCTTCTTATTCCTCATATTTTGTGCAATTCTCAAGTAAACTATCTAGTTAATACTTACAAAAAGTGTAATCTTGCATAGCCTTTCTGAGCTTATTATTGAGACATTTTTCACCTTGGAAACTCCAATAAGATAAACATCTAAATCGTTATCGTTTCTCTAATTGACATGAAACCTCTGCGTATATCTTTTTCAAGTTTTCCATTTGTCCAAGTTGCAAACTCATTTACAAGTTTGGACCAATAAGATGAATGCAGGACTTCAGGGAATTATTTATATTTGATGCATTTTATGTATTGAGGGATGACAAATAATTTTTCCCATCACCATCACTGGTTGAATAAACTTTATTTATTAGATCCAAATTCAGCATCGCAACTATTAGACTTCATTGACACACGAAAGTATGCTTCTCTACTGTAAAACATGCGAGAAAACTTTAAACTCTATGTGGAGTCTATTAGGTGAAGATAATTACTTTCTTTATTCATGCCTTGAAATAGCCCTGCTTAATGTTTCTATTCAGATTATAACTTTGCAATCAAGTGTGGCGGTCCTTCAATCACATCATCAGAAAGAATTACTTATGAAAGAGATAATGAGACACTTGGTCCTGCAACTTATTATGTTACTGATACAACAAGATGGGCAGTTAGCAATGTCGGGCTATTTACTGGGACAAACAATCCTCAATACACAAGCTTTGTATCAATCAGTTCACTGGTACTGTGGACTCAGAGCTCTTCCAAACAGCACACGGCTATCAGCTTCTTCGTTAAGATATTATGGCTTGGGGTTGGAAAATGGGGATTATAACATTTCCCTTTATTTCGCCGAAACATCTATTCTAGATACGAGTACATGGAGAAGTCTTGGAAGACGGTCTTTGATATATATATCCAGGTGCATATGATTTTATCTAAAGGCAATGCTAGATGTTATAACGTAATAATCTAAATGGGAGTCACTAGCTTTTTCAAAGAAACACCCCATCTTTCTATTTTTGCATTAGGTGAAGTTGAAGAATTAGTATATGCAATGCAAGCCCAACCCACTATCATTAGCTGACTGGTTTTAACCTAGCTTGTACACTTATTCTTACATTAACTGATCTGTCGATACACATAATGAATTCATCTTCTCTTGTCTTGAACTTGTGTATGACTGCCTTAATTCATTTTGTCTTTCCATGTTTATAATATTCAA